CATGACTCCTTGTAAAAAAGGTGTCAGTTTTGTTGCCAGATAAAAGTGTAAAAAAACAATTATCATATTTTTTACTGGCAAATGAGGTACCAATGGTGTAAACTCTGACTTAGTTCCTGGCTCTGAGACCCACATTTGAACCCGTGAGTCTCCGCTGTGTCGGCCGATTGCTCTGGCAACGGCTCAAGACCCCAAAGTTCCCGGGGCCACTTCCCCCATTCGCCCACGGCCCAGCTGGTTGGCTCCACCTGGGGAGGGAAATGCCACAATTATGCAGCACCATGGGCAGCGTTCGCGGTGCAGTCTGTGTTTTAAACACAGTTCCTCTTTATTTGCTTGTTTCATCGCATTTTTGTCCACAATCCCCCCCCCCCCCCGCCATAGTTATATTCTCCGTCTAACATGCTACAAAACCCCTTCTTTAACGACCGTTAGCCCATAAAATGCTACCACGGTGACCTTGCTATCGTCCACAGTTGTAATCTGGAGATAGCGTGCTTCAAGAAAATAATTGTTCGCTATTGCCACCCCTGCGCGGTACCGATAAGCCGTTCTGTCCCGATGGCTCGAGGGCTCAACGCCGCTGCTCGCCCCTTTGCAGAGAAAATAAAGCAGAATTCCCTTTTCGTTGGCGAGCGTCCCCGCGCTCCAAGTACACCGGCTGCAAAGTGCCCTTCGGTGCGGCAGCTCCCGCTAACAGCCACGGATTGCGATCGCCACCTTGTGATTGATCTGGAGGGCCTCGGAGAATTGACCTCAGCAACAGCAGCAGCACGGCCACACCGCTCACCCTACAGGGAGCACTGATTACTCACCTGCTCTGGCAACGCAACATCAGCTGCTGCTGGCTGCTGCTGTTTGCTGCCGCTACTACGGTGGCAAGATCTTAACTACCTCGCCTGGTATACAGGAGGTCGTGGGTTCCATCCCGACCCTGACTCCTGCTGCTGTATATTTGGAGACTGCGTGTCTCTCTCCGCGTGGATTTTTCTCCGTGTCCTCCGGGTTTTCCCTCCACATTTAGAATCAACGTCACGCGTTTAGAGTTTTTGGATGCTAGAAATGTCCACGTGATAAGCCACTTCGTTGAGCTGGTGTTTGTGATAGCCAGGTCGCTTCTGACAAAGAGCTGCGTAGCTCAGTGGCCCTTACCTGGTAATTAAAAACAAATTCTAGATTTGAAGCTTTCGTGACTGCAAGGATTCATATTCTTAAGTTTAATCGGTAAAGTCAAGCCGCACCTTACCATAATAATACAAAGGGGGCCTGTCCTGGCCCATCCCCCCCCTCAACCAGTATTTATACGGGGTAGTATCTCTTGGAATCTCTCATTTACTTGATACAGCAAGCGTGCTGTGACGGTCCACCTGAAGACGGAAGCTTGTGTTGCCTCCGAAACGTCGTGATTTTCACTTTATTTTTTTTTTATTTATTAGTTTTAATTATATTTTTTAAATTACGTGACTTTACCGAAAAAACCTAAGAATATAATTAAAAATAAAGTTGTATTTTTGTTTACTGCTTCTTGCTGCTGCTTTACTTATGACTAGAAACGGGTGGCTGTGTCACTCAAAGGGATTAGGGTTTGGGATAAAATAGCTTAGATTCATCAGTTTAACTCCATGCGTTTTACCTGAAATTAAAGAAGTGTCTCCAGCATAAATCAATAGGATTGTAGCGGCCCAAACACCGCTGTACATTGAAAGTAGGGCCACGTTCATTGAAAGTCTCCCAGCGGATCTGAAAATCAACACACACTGCTCGTGCAGGAGAATATAATACTGGGAAGTGTGTGTGTGTGTGACGCAGCTGAGAGGGCCATGTTTTGTCGTGGGAATTGGCTAAATCGTCTCCTGTGCAGCTATAATCAAGTGTAAGGTCATCCATTTGTGAACGTGCTCTTGCCTACAACATCTTGTCATTGTATTGGCTACTACCATCTACGTGTTACGTTAACAGGCCACTGAGATGACTCATCTCGCTTGCAAGGGAGAGGCCACGGCCAGCTTCAGAGCTCAACATTCACTGTTCAAGATTCAGATTGATCGCTTCGTTTCACAGATTTTGGGTTCAAGGGTTCACATTCGACGGTACCAGGGTTCCATCTCAAGAAACGAATGTTCGGGTAGATTTCAGGGTTCAAGGGTTCACATTCGACGGTACCAGGGTTCCATCTCAAGAAACGAATGTTCGGGTAGATTTCAGGGTTCAAATAATGGTTCAGGTTCAGGGTTCACATTCAACGGTTCCAGGGTTCCACATTAGGAGGTGAAGGTCAGGGCAAAACTTCAGGGTTCAAATTATGGTTCAGGGTTTAGAGTCCAGTGTTTGAGTTTATGACTTATGTAACTGCTTCTTACTGCACTGCATCATCATCATTGAAATTACACACGTGATGCGATGTTTTCACTAATTTAAGGACATAATCTGAAATGTGAATTCTGGAGTATAATAATTTATAGCCCCTTGTCAATCTCCTGCTGGATGAAGGCCTCCCCAAGCCGTGTTGGTCATGGGGCCTGTTTGACCATACTTCACCTTGCTGGTCAGTGTGAATTAGAGAAAGGCAGCTCATAGCCACTTCAGATGTCAATCACAACTGATTTGTTGGCTCGCCAAGTTAACAACGCAGTGTGCTAATAAGCACTGCGCCACGTGTAACGTCATCGATTTTTTTCGTATAATTTTGTTAAAATCTGAGCAATCGTAATTGCTGGATGAAGTGATTAGAGCAATGGGCGAGTGTTCAATAACCGGGAATCAATGCCCCACGCCTCCTCCTCTCACTTCCCTTGGCGCGACAACACACGCATTGGTGTACGCACGTGCGGAGCAATTCTACCGGGGCCCAGCAATCTGGGAGCAAGCACACGCAACGAAGACACGTGCATCAAGTGAAACAATGCCCGAGAGCGTTGCATTATAGATGACTCGTTTGTAAAACCAAAATGTGCACGCGTTGTGCTGCAGTTACCGCGTTTTACCGGGGTTGTAAATCGGGGCTGCTTGGCTCGATGTCCAATGTTTTCAGTTCTTGAAGAAGCCAAGATTTTGAACGAGCTGTCGGAACAGCACGAGGCACGGCCCGAAAACACAGCGGGGAACCCCTACGCGGAGAGATTCGAATTGAAAGTTCAATTGACGTGGCCCATCGTCCCCATGGGATCCTCTGGATAAGCTGGCCTCCGTCATAGGAATGTGAAAATGCAAACATTGTCTCAGAGGCACCTATGGAGAGAGAAGAACACTTCACACCCTCATTTTATGATAATCCTTCTTCGGCCCGTTGTCAATCCACTGCTGGATGAAGGCATCCCGTCACCAAATACCGTGGGCGCTGTTTCCCCTTACTTCACAACGCTGGTTCGAGCAGGTTGGGGTGGAGTGGTGGCACAGGGGTTAACACTCTGCCTAAAGAATCCATCGAGCTGAGTTGTATCCAGGGCCATGGCTAACAAAAGTGGTGAGCGAGATTTGAACCAGTCCTGCACCCTCCACCATCACAGATACTATTAATAACGCCTGTTATTATTTATCTTGGAAAGCCACACTGAAATCTTGAGACACTTTCGTAGGAGAGACCTGCATTTGGACGTTTGGCAAATACCATTGAAGACACGAAGACCGGGGAACCCAGAGAAATCCCCACGCGTGTGAGGGGGTGACATTCGGCACTGTCATCTCGTGGTTTCACCTCGCAGCGCTACGTCTACAGAACCTGGCAAGCCCCGGGGTTCTGTTCAACTGCCCAACAATGATCAGCCCAGCTTCTCTGCTGAGATCCGACTTAGAGCGGGCGCGTTCGGGGTGATCTGCTCATCGTAGGCTTTTGAGCATTGACATACTTGACTTTGGTAAACGAACAAGCAGAATTAGTGTTGCACAAATTCCCACGTACAGATTATGATAATGAAAATAGCGTTGACCGCTAAAGTTGAGTCAGGGAGCTCAGGGGAGCTTGACGCCGTTTTCAGCACCGCTAAGATTCTGGGTTCACACCCCAGGTGGCCGGATCGGTAATTCACCACCCCCCTTGTAGCCAGCTCACACAAATAGACTCCGTCACCAATGGCTGCACAAAAAGAACCATCCCATAAATTGGGCTTGGCATTTAATTTAGTTTATTCCCACTATCATAAAAGTCCAAGTGGGTTCCCCACTCAATTGAGCATCCAGCAGCGCTCAACTCCTGTTTATAGCCCCGGGCAAGTGCTAAAAATTCCACATTCCCATGCCGGGGGTGAGGCTTTACACAGACTAATTGCTGACAACTGCCCCGCAAGATCAGTACTCGTTCCGTCAACCCCAGAAGGTTGTAAGGCTGAGCTGACCTCTCACCAGGGATTTGAGCTCACGACCTTGCGCTTGCGATCCGCGTGCTATCACCCCTGTGCCTGCGGCTGGCTTCGTTCGTGCTGTGATGGCGATGCCCGTAGCTACAGCCGTGGAGCGGTTCGCGGAGTGAACGGCTCCTATGAACAGCTGGTGATGCGCCATGAGAGACCCCCCCCCGATGTCTCGAGTGGTCTTTGTGGATGACTACTTTACACTGCGCCCGAACGGAAAAATAACAAATGGGTTTCACAGTTATCCGTCGATACACAGAGAGAGACAGAGAGCAGAATCGATTGTAGAATTTTTGGGGTTTTTAATGCACGTTACGTGTTTTAGTGGCTACATTTGTAAAGGAAGTTCCATGCCAAGGTTACTGTTACCGTGATCTTCGCACATGTTGAGAACTCGGTCTACCAGACTGACTCTTAAATCCCTTAGCACTGTGTCCAATCACCATGCAACCCACTCACCCACTCACACACTCACTCACCTACCCACCTATTCACCCACGCACTGGGTAGACAAAGGCGGTCGGGCGCGGTGCTGGCCACCCACGCCCTCGGTCTCTCATAGGTGCCACTCGCGAACAGCACTCACACCCAACAGTCTGCTGAGGCTCCACGTGGGGACCGTTGTCTTTGCTGTGACCCGCCCCAGGTTGCTACCGCTTGTGCCATGCCTTCCGCTCCTATGACATGGACGTGGAGCAGTGCCTGCTAGAGTCCCTGCCGCTGGGCCAGCGGCAGCGGCTGGTGCGGAGGGCTCGCTGCGCCCAGCTGCACGCCTACTACCAGCGCGAGCGCGAGCTGCGGCGGCACGGCGGCCGCGGTGGGGCCGGCGGTGAGGCCGGCGGTGGGGCCGGCGGTGGGGCCGGCGGTGGGGCCGGAGCGCCCAGGACGGGGAGGAGCGCCGGCGGGCGCCGGACCGTGGCGCGAGCGGCGTTCGGCCGCCTGGAGATGCTGCACGACGCCATCCTGCAGCACGACGATAAGGAGGGTACGTCACTCGCTCGCTCGCTCGGTCGGTCACTAGGTCGGTCACTCGCTCGCTCGGTCACTCAGTCGGTCATCGGTCACTCGGTCGCTCGCTCGCTCGGTCACTCGCTCGATCGCTCAGTCGGTCGCTCGCTCGCTCGTTCACTCGGTCGCTCGATCGGTCGCTCGATCGGTCACTCGGTCGCTCGCTCGGTCGGTCACTCGCTCTGTCACTCGGCCGCTTGCTCGCTCAGTCACTCGCTCGGTCGCCCGGTCGCCCGTTCGCTCGGTCGGCAACCAACCGCGCTCCCTGGGGCGCACCGCCCCTCGTGACCGGATAACGAGGAGCTGTCTCAGCTGTCAGTGATCATTGGCGTCGTCGTGGAGGATTTTAATAACTTCATGAACGTATATACTGTATATAATACTTTGTAATTGTGTAAATAACTTCATAAATATATAAGGAATGTATGTCTTCTGCGCGACGATGTTCGTGATTACGTTGAGTTTTGTATTGTGAGATATTTGCGTGGAACTCGGATCCCGTAGCGTCAAGAGAGGCTTCTTGCCTTGAACGTCTGGCAGCTCGCTAGCATTGATTCAAGCGAGCCTCACTCTGCTGACGATCACTGAGCTTGAAAACCGGTCCAGCGGTTGCTTGTCTTGAGACAATGCTGCCGAATTGATGTGTTCACTGGGTCAACAACCATTACGGACCGACGTATCTGGGCCACGCCGTTTAATCACGAAAAACTATGAAAAAAAACACATCGATAACGACTTTCTTCCAATAGTATCGTTCAATTTCAAAGAGCAGCATTACACAGCGAAGCACTTTAATGTAGACTCGCACCCATGATTCATGAGGTATTTAACTGATAATAATGAACGTGATCATAACAAACACCGCTTTCATTCATAATAACTGCGCCGCTGAAAATGGTATTTATTTTTCATAATCACCGTGCAATAGTGAATGCTGGAATTAATCTAATCGCTAATTAATTACCAAAAAAAGATGCGGGGCAAACGAGGCAAGGCTATCTCTGCCGTGGTAGCCAATGCGTTTGCTCTAATAATAATAGTAGTAGTAGTCGTCGTAGTTGTTATTATTCAAGTCATGGAGGTGTTTCGGAATTGCCTTTTTTTTTCACCGTGAGAGCGCCGTGTGCATAATGAGCCGACGTACACTCGGGTGATCATTCTGCTTAACTGCCTGTGTCCTGGCCTCCTCTGTGGCTCTAAGTGATTTACTGATTCCGCAATGTGGCCCCGGCGCTTAGCTACATCGGGCCTCAATTTTGCTACATCGCACGCACGCACACACGCACGCACACACACACACTCACATACACGCGCACACACGCACACACACACGCACACACACGCACGCACACGCACGCACACACGCACTCACACACGCACTCACACACGCACACACGCACATAAAGACAAAGATCCCCCGTATAGCCTTAACAGACTGTAGGGGCAAGTGCTGTTAGCGAGCACCTATGAAGGCCAGAACGGTACACGAGGGGGTGGGTGGCCAGCACCACGCCCAACCGCCTTTGTCTCCCTAGTAGCGATGTTTACACACCGCACCAGGTACTCATTTCAGGCTGAGTCGACCTAGGGGAGGCCCAGGACCGGTTCAGATAATCGTCATTGGTGTTGGCCGTGAGCGGGAATCGAACTCGGGTTGCCAGGTTCATAGCGCAGCGCGCTAACCGCTACACTACCGCTCCCCACACACGCACACACGCACACACACACACCCACACACGCACACACGCACACACGCACACACACTCACACACAGAGGGCCGCCAAAGACGCCGGCCACATTAGCATTCACGTGCACGCCACACGCTGGGATAAAACGGGCATTCGTGCGTTGCAGGCTGAAATACAAATATCTATATTAGATTTGTCTTTTTTTAATGTAACTTTATATTACGTTTATTTGGTTAACAACATTCCAACGCAGGTGTCAAGGCAGCACACAGGGAGGCAGTGTAGCCGTCTGATCACGAGAAAATAGGAAATGTGTTCTTATTGCCCAGGCGCGTTGCTCACAAAGATTGTGCTTTTAAAAAATTGGGTTAGCAAACGATTTAGATTGCGGCCACGCTTTAAAAAACTATTTTCATTTTTTTACTCTGAGCTGTTTAGCTCTTTTTCAGAAGCGGCCTTTCTACTGCAAATGATAGCTCAACTAAGTGGCTTATCATGTGGAAATGTATGGCAGCAGCCAAATAGTCTAAACGCGCGTTTCTAAATGTGGAGGGGTAAACCTGGAGAAAAATCCACGCGACCACGGGGAGAGAGAGACACGCAAACTCAAAATGTACAGCAGCAGGCGTCAAGGTCGGGATCGAACCCACGACCTCCTGCACACCAGGCGAGACAGTTCACATCTCACCACCGTTGCTAATCACAGCACCCATGATGCGAGGCATATCAATTGCCGCCCGAAATCCATCCATGACATATTTACCCCCCAAACAAATGGAGTACTGGGGAACGCGTCACCCAGTGAATGGGGCCCCCATGGGCGAATGAACGTCCGGGCAAGGCCGCATCGCGAGATACACCCAGCGATCGAGGGGAAGGAACACACAACTAGAAACCGCTCCACTCACGCCGCCACACGCCGCCACAGACTCCGCGAGTCGAAACGGACGCGTCGGTCAGAGAGTCGGCGACGCTTTGCACGAAGATTGGCGCTCGATCGCACCGGGCGGAGCAACCAGAGGGAGTACAGCTTCGTGGTGAGATCGGAAAGGGTGGATACCTCCTCGCTCACAGCGACGGCCGAGACCAGGGGTGGAGAGCGTCTGGCCCGTGGGCCGTGTAAGGCCCGCGAAATCATTTGGTGTGGCCATGCCAAGGCAACCGCAGGTTGGACTCGAAATTCAATAAATTTAGGAACAAACGTGGAAAAGCAGTTGCGAGTAGCAACATCATTAATACCAGCTAACATCACACGCCTCACCAACTAGATGCAGTTCCAGCCGTCACATTAGGGGTGAGTTAATTAAATGTTTGACGAAACATAACAGGCACATTTTTAAGTTGATAATTTTGTATGGCCCGGGAATGATGTTATAAATATCCAAATGGCCTTTGGCAGAAAAAAGGTTCCCCACCCCTGGTCTAGACGGACGGCCACTGGCCACACTTTATTACCCCGCCTGGGCAGTTCGCGTGGAGGTGACGGACGGTTTCTGGCGATGTCCGCGTGTCACCTGCCACACAGTGGCCACTTAAAGACCTTTTGGTATCGTTTCATTGTGCACATTAAATCCAAGGAATTCAGCTTTAACCCCTTAGCCACCCTATCCACTTCCAGAGTCCTGAATCATGAGAATGAGTTCAATTTCCGTTCTTATTGTTGCCGTTACTGTGGGCCCTTTAAAGACGGAGTGAATCACGCGAACCTCCGAATCTGCATTGCCACCCAACTTGTGCATAGACGATGGTTTGGCTTGAAGGGAATTCACGTCCCACAACATCCATTCCTGGACGTAACTGTGGATTGCAATCTCAACATATTGTATCTTGATCCTTCTGCTTCTGCAAGGCAGGTGCATGAATGGATGGTACAGTGGGTACGGTATCGTGCTGTGAGCCCAACCACCCGAGTTCGATTCCTGTCCACAGCTAACGATTGAGAATAGGTGTGGACTTGATAATTGGTTCTTTACCCTTCTATCTGGCAACAAAACTGACACCTTTTTGCAAGGAGTCATGTTTGCATAGACCGTATTATGACGGCAGGTATTGCGGTCTATGCAAACATGACTCCTTGCAAAAAGGTGTCAGTTTTGTTGCCAGATAGAAGGGTAAAGAACCAATTATCATATTTTTACTGGCAAATGAGGTCCCCATAGGTGTGGACTTGTTATTTATTTATTTACCTGCACAGGTGAGGGCACGGTGAATGGCAGTAAATCGCCTGCACGTCAATGTCTCTGTAAGCCATCATCGGCGTCATCATTTGGACTTGTTTTAGTATCATTCACGAAGTCACTGAGCCAGGCCATGTGCGTCTAAACATGATTTTTTGTTTTATTTGACACAGGCGGTAAAACGCACAAACATCTGGAGTTGTTGTTGTTTTCAGTCACCGAGAGGGTTTATCCTCGCCGGAGATCGACGCCAATTAAGCACGCACGCATACACGGCTGTAAAATAACAACAACAGCAACAACAGCAACAACCCCCCACGTGCATCCGTGAGGAATTGCCACGATGAAACGATTCGTTTCAATGTTTCGCCAGACAAGAATCCGAAAGCGCGTCGGAGAAGCCGCTGCAACCGCGACGAACCCGTGCCAGCAACACATTTGCTCTCACGTAGAAAGAAACAAAATAGAAAAAAATGAAATGCAACACCGCCGGTGATACGAAATCCCATCGCAACGGGGGAAAACGCGTGCAGGCTGGAAACAAATCGAGTGAACGTGGCGTGAGCACGCACGGTGGGAGCCGTGCATCCCTGCCGATTGCGAGCAGCACACCTTTGCGTGTTAAATCTGTTAGGTTTGTTGGTCCCAGCCTTCTTAAGTCTATTCCGATTAAAGGCTTGCAGCCTACATTTGTTGATTGCGTCGCAAAATCACGTTGAAAGAGAGATGACACTCCAGAGGGCGACAAGGTGGTGGCGTGGTGGTGAAGCTCGTGCCGCACAGCAACAAGCAACTGGGTTCAATTACAGACTCGGGCGACTTTCTGTGTGGAATTCTCCCCCAGTTCTGCAATGTGTGTGAGTATGTGAGTGTGTGAGTATGTATGTGAGTGTGTGAGTATGTGAGTGTGTGAGTATGTGAGTGTGTGAGTATGTGAGTGTGTGAGTGTGTGAGTGTGTGAGTATGTGAGTGTGTGAGTGTATATGTGAGTGTGTGAGTGTGTGAGTATGTGAGTATGTGAGTGTGTGAGTATATGAGTGTGTGAGTGTGTTAGTGTGTATGTGAGTGTGTGAGTGTGTATGTGAGTGTGTGAGTGTGTATGTGAGTGTGT